GTTTTAATATACCATAAAATCATAAAAAAGGAATTAAGTAGTTTCGCCATGTATTAAAAGTCCAATATATAATAATCTGCAATCGTGATAAATGTTGGGTGTTTTAATTTAAATGCCCAAAAAATTTTATTTTGCTCAATCTTGCCATAATGGAAAATGTTATAAAAAACGCTTATTTTGAGGTTTGGTTTTTGTTTGTCGAGAGAGGACTTTGCTTCTCAATTGCCTACTCAGTCCGAAGTAGCACCTGTTGGCAAGAGTTATCCTGTGTTCGATTTCTAGGCTGACATTGTTTGTGGTGTTTACGCTGGTTCCAAGATAGACCAAATTATCAACTTCAAAGTTATGACTGTCAACAGTAACGTGAGAGCATAGTCGCAAGTGCGACGACTGTTTCTTTGATGACAGGAGATATTTCGTCTTGCCCTCGTTCACTGCCATACTCATTTGGTTTGCTTCCTTGTCCAGTCTGGAAAAAGCAGAACTAACGGCGCGGGTGTTGATATCAATATCATCGGCAGCAGCCAGCAGCTTTACACTCTTATAGAAGATTGTACCTTCTCTATTTAGTTCTGCAGCTCTAATTATTTTCTCCAGAAGCAGGTTGAAGAAGTCGCACGATAGGGAGACGCCTTGTCTGAAACCTCGTTTGGTATCGAACGGCTCGGAGAGGTCCTTCCCGATTCTGACGGGGCTTTTGGTGCTGCTCAAAGTTTTGCAGTGATACCAAATTCAGCATCGCGGCATAAAGGCACCTCCTTTTCGTGCTGTCGAAAGCAGCCCTGAAATCGACGAAGAGGTGGTGAGTGTGGATTATCCTTTCACGGGTCTTTTCCAAGATTTGGCGCATGGTGAAAATCTGGTCGGTTGTTGATTTTCCAGGTCTGAAGCCACACTGATAAGGTCCAATCAGTTTGTTGTCGGTGGGCTTTAACCTTTCACACAATACGCTAGGTAGAACCTTATATGCAATGTTGAGGAGGCTTATCCCACGGTAGTTGGTGCAGATTGTGGGGTCTCCTTTTTTGAGGATTGGGCATAGCACACTTAAATTCGGCCGGCAATCCATCGGCCCCCCCCCGCTTTGTTGTTCTTCAGGCGGATAATTGCTATTCGAACTTCTTCCTGGTCGGGCAATTGACCGTCTGCTCCATCGTCATCGATTTGGGAATCGGGTTCGCCTTCTCCTGGGGTTGTGCGTTCGCTGCCATTCGGCAGGCTAGAGAAGTGTTCCCTCCATAATTTAAGTATGCTCTGGTGCATCGGTGACTAGATCACCTTTGGGGGTTCTACAAGAGTATGCTCCGGTCTTGAAACTTTATGTAAGCCGCCGCATTTTTTCGTAGAATTTTCGAGTATTACCCCTGTCGGCCAGCTTATCAAGCTCTTCGTACTTCGTACAGAAAACTTTCCTCCCTTGCGTGAACTTCTACACATGACTCCATCCTCCCATATACACATATTTAATTATTTGAAAAGAAATTTGCAATTTTTGTTTTATGCTTTTTTACTTCTCACTGATTTAGAAGTTCAGATTGGAATACTGACTTACTATTTTTCAGTTACCCGAAGATTTGGGAGTTATTTCTTGCACCGTTCATTTGTATATGTTGATTCTTCTTTCCCTTCGGAGTTATTACTGTCATCAGTAAGTACTCCATCAAAAGCGATATACACTCTGTCTCGGTGCACTCGTTATTATCAAAATCAATGAATAGTAATAATTCACGCTTAATATATCTTCAGCAGGTGATGGGACGTGGTGTAGTTTGAACTCTTTACAATTTATACAGATAAATAGACATGATTTTGCTAAACATATCTCCTTAGCTTTTTCCTATCAGTTAACTTATATGACTTAGTTTATGGCTAATGTCAACCAATTTCCAATATACAATATGTTATTTTGATTGATTATATGCTGAACATATCGCTTACAAATTTGGTTTCCATACCTCGCTCTAACCCCGATATACCAACTACGTCGGTTATACGTATTATAAACACCCATCTCTTAAAAGGGAAATGATTTTTCCAGCATGCTATTATGGCAATTTAAAAAATTATCCTTAAATAAAATTATTTATAATGATCGATATTAAATACTTTTATTAATAAATTAATAGTTGCATACCTATACAACTTTGTCCTACATTTGATACTACTGGAAAATCAGAAATTTGGTTGCATTAAGCGATTGTTATTATCGGATAGTACACACTTTAATAATCATTCTCTCAAATTTTGAAATCGAGACTCAAATTATTACGGTTGCTACGGCTTTTTTGTAAAAAGTGAACAGAGTGCGGAACATAGCGATTCCAATCTTTAAACGCGTTTTTCTCAGAATGGTGTTTTTCAAAACGGCTTCCACTCTTAAAGGAAGGGTTTTGAAGAAATCTAGTTCCAATTTAGAGAGAACATTTTTAACGTCATTCGCTATCACCCTTTGTTAGCTTTTTTGTTTTGTTTTGAAATCTTCCTATTTTTTTCCACGAAATACTGTCGAAAAAAGGCCAAATTCGATATTTTTTGTTGAAACCGCCGCCATTATATCAAATTTTAAAGAAACAAGTGAGGAAGGGCTAAGTTCGGGTGTCACCGAACATTTTATACTCTCGCATGATAAAGTGATAATCGAGATTTCAGGCGTGGTTGTGAACCGATTTCACCCATATTTGGTACATGTCATCACGGTGTTAAGAAAATATTATATACCGAATTTCATTGAAATCGGTTGAGTACTTCCTGGGATATGGTTTTCGATCCATAAGTGGGCGACGCCACGCCCATTTTCAGTTTTTAGAAAAAGCCTGGATGCAGCTTCCTTCTGACATTTCTTCCGTAAAATTTTGTGTTTCTGACGTTTTATCTTAGTCGGTTAACGCACTTTTAGTGATTTTCAACATAACCTTTGTATGGGAGGTGGGCGTGGGCGACTTCTTCCATTTTTGAACTGTATATGGAAATGCCTAAAAGAAACAACTCTATACAGTTTGGTTGACATAGCTATAGTAGTTTTCGAGATATGTACAAAAAAGTTAGTAGGGGCCGGGGCCATGCCCACTTTTCCAAAAAAATTACGTCCAAATATGCCCCTCCCTAGTGCGATCCTTTGTGCCAAATTTCATTTTAATATCTTTATTTACGGCTTAGTTATGACATTTTATAGGTTTTCGCTTCCCGCCATTTTGTGGGCGTGGCAGTGGGCTGATTTTGCCCATCTTCGAACTTAACCTTCTTATGGAGCCAAGAAATACGTGTACCAAGTTTCATCATGATATCTCAATTTTTACTCAAGTTACAGCTTGCACGGACGGACAGATAGACATCCGGATTTCAACTCTACTCGCGCGATAACGGCTTTCCTGCAGATTAATGACCATTTTGAAATTTTTATTTTAGATCAAAATAGCGGCTCAATCATGGACATCATACAGGACCATTTTTTTACGTGTAACTTCAACAATTTATTTAACTATAATACAACCAATAAACATAAAAAATAATTTTGTATTCGTCATGAATGTATTCATTTATAAAAAAACTTTATCGATTTTTATTTTCAACACTTAAAAAAAATCGCGAAAATCAGCGATTTTTCGGAGCGTCACGCTGAGACGATCCCTTAAGTTTTATTCAAATATAATCTTCCTAAGGCTTTATTTTGTTATTCAGCCTTGCATCTTTGTTTTTATTTAATTTGGTTTGTAAAAATGTACATTACCCCCTTTAGACACATTTACTTGTAGTACAACCACATATCGATAAAAATATATTTTCGTTTTCTTCTGTTATAGTGCATAACCATACGCCAAACAGGAAGCAATACTGGAGTATTAGGAAATTAAATAATCTCTAACTGGCTTTGAAACGCGTTTATAGCACTTACTCACCCTTTTAACTTTTCCAACAAATATGCTTCATTCAGTAATCTTCTGTAAGGGATTCTTCTATTTTACGGCATTTTCAGTGCTAACACACTTTTTAATAGAGCCGGTGATTGGAGTAGTCAATGAAAAAGAAGAACAATTCACCAATGGCGGGGTGTACAGAAATAACTTTGGTGCGTATATTCAGAATGTTCCAATTATAATAAATAATAAAGTTTAATGGTTATTCATAAGTTAAATGATTAATTTTTATCACTTTAAACCCTTGCTACCATATAATACAAATACAAGAAAATAATTTAAACATTTTTTATTTGAAAGTTTTTCGATTTTTGTGTAACCAAGTTCGGAAGGTTAATTTTGTTTCAATATATATTTTTGTGCTAGTTTTACTGTATGACTTTATTTTACATATATACATACATTATTTTAAAATTTATTATACTAAATTTTGTTATATTTATTTAAATCTAACATCATTTCTCCCTCAACAGAACCACTAACATTACACAAACGACCCTCTTTCTTTGTTGGCAGCCGATATGGCCGATCCAGTGGCGGTGCTGCACTCAGCTCTTCGAAGACACGTCGTCTAAGTGTGGTACCTCGTAACGATCGCTTCTTTTTGGGTTCACGGTATGGAAAGCGCTCTGAAGAAAACTCCGCTGCAGAATTCTATTCGCCATATGAACAAGAAAATCAACTTGCCAACAATAATGCTCTCAACTCAATTAATGGTTTAGCATTCCAACATACTAGTGTTAGCAAATACCCATACGGTGAAAATAATATGCTGGAAAAGCAACAACAAGAACAAATACAAACTCCTTCAATGATGTCTTGTGTATATACTGGGTTGAGGAACTTTTTTCGCTGTCGCAATATGTAAGTGAATCAATCAATCCTTAAGCACAGAACTCTTGTATTAAATTTCCTTATTTTGTAAACTTACTTACATTTAAACATCTGTAAAAGATAAATACGACTGTTTTACTTTTTATTGTAGCGATGAGATCAATAACATTATCAACCAGTTGACGATTGCTCATAGCGTCGAGGAGAGAAAGTAAATGATATACTTATGAGCATTATTAAAAGTATTAAGAAGTTGCGGGTTTACAGCAATATTATGTTTACTTCACTCATAATAATATCACTCGATATATTTTACGGCTATACCAACTCTAAAAAATTATTATGCAATGCTCTCGCGTTAACTCTAATATCCACAAAGTCGCGTTTTCTTCATTGACTACTTCATAATTCTTTCCTTTAACTTGAACGAAAGTTAAATACAATTTAGAGATTTTTTACAGAAATCCGACTTGTACGTCAGCACCCAGTGGCCAATAACAAATAAATAAGTTCTCCAATGACTAAGGACAAGTTGCCAACACTTAATTACCTAAGCATTGAAACTATTGATGAATCGAACGAGCTCGTTATTTTGAACAACGCTACTTTTAATTTATATGATTTCAAGCGAGTGCGCTGTAATTAAAAAATATGAGTATAAACCGATGTGAACATTTAAAAAGACTTCACTTATGAAATTTGAATATACCTGTATATCTGTGTTGGAAAGCAAAATTACCTAACGTTGATTTCAAAATACATATTCTAAAGAAACATTCCGATTATTTCAATTTAGAACTCAACAACATTACCTATAAACATTATACATATGTAATTTAGAGTGTAGAAATGAGTTTAAATAAATTGCGTACTCACTGATATATGTTTACATTTACTAAATTAACATTTGTCTTTCCACCACAGATTTTATATGTAATAATTAAGCACACTAAAAATCACTATGAGATTGGCACTTGTTTATATAAAAAGTGAAATTAAAATTTTGAAAGGGCTGGATAAATTTTAATCGTCACGAAATCACAAACTTAGACACACTTCGAACGATATGTCTAAAATAAACATTTTTTTTCAAGAGCAAAAGTTATAAAAGCCATATGTAACATAATTGTAAATAATATTATAAAAACATAAAATCTAGTTAATAATTATTAATCTATCTAAATATCTAAAATAAATGGAGCATACATCTATTTAATTACAGTGACATCTATGTATGTGTGTACGATACCTATATACCATATATACTTCATAGAAATATATTTGACAATTTCTTTTAACAACGTTGACAAAATGATAGCCATTTTACGGATTCAATTTAATTGTGATAAAAGTACTGTTTATTTTTAAGTAACTAGTATTATAATTGTGATTTTAATTTCTATTTGAGCAAAAATAATCATGCTTTTTACAACCATACAAATATAACCTTTGTGCGAAAAATATATGTATGTTATCTTATACTACAAATATTTAATAAAGCATATACATAATTATACATATAAACAATTATGTTCTATTAGCAACTACATCTTTTGTTTTTATTACAAGGAAATATTACGTGTTTATCCAAGGGATGCCATTCCTGGTTATAATAATAAAATATAAGAATAAGAACTTTTATTTACAATAACGATAATAGTTACAACAAACGCATCAGTTAGTCATGTAAACTTTAGTAATCAAGTAAGAAGGAACTAAGCTCCGCTGTAACCGAACATTTTATTTTCTCGCAATGTGTAAACTAGTTTTGATAAGATGTCTTATACGATCTATACGATATAAACCCAACCTTAAGTTTGATAATCCTTATATAATGTGATTAGGGGCAATTCTTAACACATTTTATCCATATTTGGCACCTGAGTACATTATTTATCAGGAAAACTTGTCCCCTGAATTCCTTTACGATATTTGCGGTATTTTGGGGTTTTTAAAGTTAGAACCCAAATTTTACTATTTGAATTTACAATTAACCTATTTGTGCAAATTCCGATGTAGTTATTGGTGCTTGATTTTTAAATTGTAATTTAAATAATAGTAATGGTGAGATATGAGATTTCTCCAAAAAGGGCAGTATCACACCTTTTATTCAATTTTTATATCGAGTTACTGCACTTTAATTATGTTCAATTATCGTTTTTAAGAAAGGTGGGTATGGTAATCATCGCATTTCATCAGTTTTTTGCAGTATTTTAAGTTATCAGAAGGAAATACTTATAGTGATTTTGATTTAATTATCTCGCTTTTGCCAAAGAACAGACATATGTATGTGTGCACTCAACACGATGTCTCAATTGTCACTCAAGATACAGCTTACATGGACGAACGGAAAGATGGACAGAATTCAACTCTCATTGTTTACATTATTATAATAATCTGTATTTAAGATGTACTAGTAATTGCTATCTATGTTCAACATAAGGAGTCTGTTGTCTATATATATTTGCAATAAGCTGCTTATTTATCGGAATCGCTCATATCGGAACATGCTAACTGAGCCATACAAATTGAATCCTGAGAATCAAGTACCTTTATGGAAATTTTTTTATCTGATAAGATATCTTTCCATAATTCCAGTATATCCTTGAGGAATGTTGAGAGCCTTATTACTAATTTTCGAAAAAGCTTCACTTATCTATTTTTCGATCCAATATCGCCTTAAAATAATTAACCACTGGAACTCATTACTTAGCGTAGCCATGAGGTTCTGTAAACATTTGAAATGTCTCAGAACAGAAACATTATTTTGAACATATAATCTTGACGGAGTACAAATAAAGTTTTTCCTTTTTGCTATGTGGCGCCTATTGGATACAGTAAGCGAAGTCAGGTCCTTCTCCCCCTGCTCTTTCCAATAGAGCGGAAGCCTTCTTCCTCTGTTTCCACCGACAGGAACTGAGTCGAATACTTTCAGAGCTGGAGTGTTTTCGTCCATTCGGACGACATTACCCAACCAACGTAGCTTAATTCGCTATGTCAATGTCGTCGTACAGCTCACAAGGCCCATCGTTTCGTCGAATGCGAAATTCGACGTGGCTAATGCGCAAATTACCATAAATTTTCCGCAGAACCTTTCCCTCGAAAACTCGTAACGTTAGACTCATTATTGTCATTGTCCATGCCTCTGAACCATATAGCAGGACGAGAGTAATGAATGACTTATGGAGCTTGGTTTTTGATCGTCGAGAGAATTCTTTACTTATCAATCGCCTACACAGTCCGCAGTATCACCACTTGGCAATAGTTATTCTGCGTTGGATTTCGAGGCTGACATTATTGGTGGTGGACGCATAGTAGTAATTTAACCCACCTAGGTCAAATACGTTAGCCGCTAGAGCATTTTCAAGGTTAAAATTTTTTTTTGGATTTTTTTTAAAAAGTTACATTTTTTTGTAAACTTTCTGCTTTCCTGAAAGCTCTAGGATTGAATAACTCGCAAATCCCCTACGGCCCCATACTCCCCTAACCATAGTGTAACAAAAGGGTTGTTTTTGTGATAACTACTCACCTGTTCAATTCTCATCAGTGGTTTATACCTGTAATTAACGTACACACCTGTAGTTACATAAATCACATAGTTACCGTTATTATTTCGTTCCCATTTTTGTGGAAATGGCTGCCAAAAGTACATAGAAGTTTATCCATATTTTCGCAACCTGTTTCTCGCCTATAGCCATGCTCCCGGTGGGGGCTTAGGGGCGAATGATTCGGACATTTTCGGAAAGGTCTTCGAATTACCTAACCGGTGCAATTTATACTATACTATACCACTTAGGTCAAATACTTTAGCCGCTAGAGCATTTTCAAGGTTCGAACAAAAAATGTAATTTTTTTCAAATTGTTACATTTTTTTGTGAACAGTAATACCAAGACCCTGGTGGGGATAGAGGGGAGTTTGACATACCGGACGTTGTCAACAGTGACGTCGGAGCCTAGTCGCGAATACGATGTCTGTTTGTTTTATGACAGGAGATATTTTGTCTTGCCCAGACCCATTTGCTTCGCTTCCTTATCCATTCTGGAGAAAAAAGAATCAAGCGCGGTTGTTGAAGCCGATGATATCGTTGTCATCGGCGTCCGCCAGCTGTTGTACACTCTTATAGCAGATAGTACCTGCCCTATTTAGTTTTTCATCTTGAATTATTTTCTCCAAGAGCAGATTGAAGAAGTCGCACGACAGGGAAAGGCGTCTCTCAGCTCATTAGGTATCCAACGGCTCGGAGAGGTCTTTTCCTGACGGAGCTTTTAGTATTGCTCAACGTCGGCTTACACAGCCGTTAGAAAGCTCGGCCGACAATCCATCGCTCCCCGCTTCATCGTTATCGACTCGGGAATCGGGTTTGCCTTCTTCTGGCGTTATACTTTTACTGCCATTCAGCAGTCTGGAGAAATGTTCCCTCCATAATTTTTTATGCTCTGGGCGTCAGTCACTAGATCACCTCTGGGGGTTCTACAAGAGTATGCTCCGGTCTTGAAACAATTAGTCGCCGCATCCTTACGTAAAATTTTCGAACACTACCCCTGTCGGAAATGCGTCTCGCTTCCCTCTTCAACCCTCTGGATCTATCCCATCCCGAACGTGTTGTGGTCGATTGTAAAGTTGTGCGGAAGGCAGTAAGTTTTCTTTTCACTTAGACACGGCAAACCTAACAACTGTTCTTTTGCCTTCTCCGAAAACCAATGGTTTCGTTTGCAACTGTAGGTAAGGAGCTTGAAATGCCGTCCCACAGTTCCCATTGTCATTGCAGCTTCTTGACGTCGAATCTTGCTTGTGTTTGTTGACGTGCTTTTTTTGGTGCACAGATTCGGTTGCGTATTTTGGTTGCACAAAATAGTAGTCTGAGTCGATGTTAGGACCTTTGATCACTTTTTGCTATACTGGAATCAAGTACTACAGATAAGCATATTACGGGCCCCGGCGAAGTCGATCAGCTTCAACCCATTTAGGGATGTTTCCTTGTGGAGGCGAAATTTACCGACTGTTGTGCCAAAGATACCTTCTGGCGTTAAAGTAATCATGCACGATTTTGACATCGGGGCAGCTCTCATAGCTGGCATCCAAACGCTCATAGAAGGCATCTTTGGTCACATCGTACTTCTCTTCCGTCGGGGTGTGAGCGCAAATCAGCGATATTTTGAAGAACTTAGTTTTAATACGGGTGAATGACAGTATTCGGCGACGGAGTCTCTCTCCCACCACGAATCCCACCCCAAATT